GTACAGATGGTGCGAGAGGGAGAGATGTCTGTGAACCCCCGGAAAACTGTAATCATTCCTTTTACCAAAAGGCAAAAGCTAGATAAGCTTCGCCAACCTGTCCTATATGGAGAGAGCATTCCGTTTGAAATGGCGGAGGTGAAATATCTAGGGGTCACCCTAGATAAAAGACTCACCTGGAAAGCCCACATGGCAAAAACTATTAACAAAGCTAGATTTTCCCTCTGGAACCTCAGAAGGGTATGCGGTATTTCACCGGGCGATGAGACCATCTACCACCTAAAGTTATCCTTTTAGTCGCCCCTACATTTTATTTCATTCTCAGATTCTCCTTGTGAATTGATTCCATCGATCTATCACACCTTAGGTTCGAGGAAAATGATTAGAGAGATATAGGATGCGAAAAACCGAGATTTTTCAACTTTCAAAAAATCATCATTTTTGGGTCAGTGGTTCACATGTCTCTATCTCAACTTTTGGTTTAATATCTACTGACATTTGATTTGAACGAATACAGGGTGGTTCATAATCTAGATTTTAACCTAAAGTGTGATAGTTCAATGAAATCAATTCACAAGGGAGAATCTGAAAATGCAATCAAAATACAGGGTGTGCCATAAGAAAGAGTATAACTTTGACATGCCAGGCACTTTCGAGTTACCTGGTATAACGCATAGCAAATTGAGAGTAAAAAGAAAATATGAAAAATTAGTTCTTGAATAAATTCACAATAAACTTCATGAATTTCTTCACACAATTATAGAACACTAATTTTTCGTAAATTTTTTAAGTCAGTAGTGCAGTGCCATGCATTATTTCCTGTAAAATTCACCAAGTTTATGACCAGAGCAAAAGCAACTTCTTCGCCAAATATCTATCGTGAAGTCACCAATGCCTTCACACAATTATAGAACACTAATTTTTCGTAAATTTTTTAAGTCAGTAGTGCAGTGCCATGCATTATTTCCTGTTAAATTCACCAAGTTTATGACCAGAGTAAAAGCAACTTCTTCGCCAAATATCTATCGTGAAGTCACCAATGCCTTGAATATTTCCTGTAAAATTCACCAAGTTTATGACTAGCTTCACGAGGAAAATCTTAAATTAATTCATGAAGACATTCACGAAGAACTTGTCGGTGTGAAACAGCCATCACACATTCCGCCAACTTCAAAAGAACATACCTATTGTAGGTATACGGATTGCATCAAGACAAATGTTATGCATATGAATCATACCGCTTAATTCAATTCTAACCTCAAATGAACACTTCCGATTTGTTTCTGATATTTGTTTCAAATGTATTATTTCTCTCAATGGAATACTCGTAAAACATCGGCAAACTCTCTACAGTTATAACCAGACTCAATGACTGAAATGTCCTTACCAATCGTTAAGTTCCCGACATAAACTGAAAATTACGTCGGCAACTATATTATTACGTTTTCGGCTTCGCTCGGAAATCCGATTGTCTCTTTGTGTCGGTAACATATAAATATGCCTCCGGGTTACTGTGTGAAATAAAAAATCACCAAACTCTAGGAATGGTTTCCTACATGTTGGCTACTTAGACACACGTGAAAAAGTGTTCCAAAGTCCTCTTCCCGAAGAGAGATGAGTGGGTAAGTGGATCAGTACAATTCCCAGAAACCAAACACAATGTACACAGATGGTTCGAAAACCCCTCTTGGAGTTGGAGCCAGTGTGTTCAGCAGAAAACCGAAGACGGAAATCTCTGTCAATCTCGGTAAGTATGCTACAATCGACAATCAGGCGAAGGTCTTCGCAATTGAATTGTGTGCTAGAGAATTGAAGAATAGACCTCTAGTAAACAAAAACATCAGTATTGTATCATACAGTCAGGCTGGTCTTATAGCAGCAGCAGCAACTCCAGCAAGATGAATTCCAAGCTTGTATGGAGCTGTATTGAATCCCTAGAATGCCTGGGTGCAAACAGTTGTGAGTGCGTGGACACCAGGGGGTGGAGGGCAGGGGTGGAGGGCAACGAGATTTAAAAAAAAACAATTACCAGGATTACTCTATTTGTATATCAATCAATGTGTTGTAAATTCGATGTTTTTTTTGTGATTTGTGATTATTCCTACCTGTCAAGTATTCTTTCATAAATTGTAATGGAAATTCAATGTGTGCGATTTCAACTTGCAACAACTTGTTATGATCACATCAAACATCAGTATCGGTATAATATCTCCTTGTAGTATTTGGAGAGTGTTAGTCTGTCATTCTATTTGTGTTATATTTGTCAGCTCCTTAACAGTTGAGACGATTTTCAAAGTAACTGTTTGGTGAAGTAAGTGATAAACGGTTTTCTTGAGTTTTCACAATGGTGAACCTCAAATTGAGTTGTATGGATATTTGGTTGTCCTAGAGACACCTTCCTGAAGCAGAAACAATGATGAAAGTTCCTATCTAAGTAATCAATGTGTTCCTCCATTGAATGACTGCTTCACTCTATATATCTGTATTGGATATATGGATATTTGGAACAACCTGTATTCTCCATTTCAAAATGGTGAACCTCAAATTAAGTTGTATGGATTTTTGGTTGACCTAGAGACATCTTGCTGTAGAAATTACAACTATCCAAGTATTCAATGTGTTCCTCCATTGAATTACTGCTTCACTGTTTATATCGATATTGGATAAATGGATATTAGGAACAACATGTTAAGTTGATTTTCATTGTTTGACCTGTTGAATTAGTTAATATTTTACGATGATGTTATGATTCTTTTCTAATTTTTATTGTAAAAGAAAACTTATTCAATAATAGTTTGATAGTGATAGTGTTCCTAATATTTGTGGAATTCATCTTGTATCCAACTGCTGATATGCATTATTGTTCAAGACATCAAAAGTTGAATAGAATAGAATATAATAGAATAGAATACTTTATTTTACTACATTACGTACACTGTACATTTGTAGCAGGTCAAGGAGTTAGAACTATAAAAAATTGAAACGGAAAATAAAATGAAGTTAATAGACAAACAATAAGAAGTTGAAAGACAAACAATATGAAAATATTGTTACAGATTAAAAATAGAGAACAAATATGAAAAAAATATAAAATACAGGTACATATTGATAGCTACTTCATTCATATTAATACTCAAGCCAGTAATTCCTCATGATCAGCCTGAAAATATTCTTCCAGTGAGTAGAAGCAATGTTCCAGGAGATATTGCTTTATTTTATTCTTACATTTGATGAAACAGAGATTTTTAATTCTATGAGGCAAGGAGTTTTTCTGAGATACATTAAGTCTAAACCGAGGATTACGTATCTTCATCGCATGTCTGGTGTCATGGTCATGAATATCACTATGAGTTCTGAGTATGTTAGATTGTTTGTGAACCTCTTGAAATGTGTTATAGATGAACAAAGTTGGTAATGGCATGATGCCATATGCGATGAATAAGGTTTCACAGTGTTCTCTATAATATGCATTGGCCATTACTCTTATTGCCTTTTTCTGCTGTCGAAATACGATAGGAGCATGAGAAGAGTTTCCCCATAATAAAACGCCATAATTTATATGACTGTGAAATAAAGAAAAGTAGACAGTTTTTAAAGTTACAGGAGAAATATGGTACTTGACAGTTTTTTCTGTAAAAGCTCAATATGATGGTGCCAATTTAGTTTCTCATCAAGTGTGATCCCTAGTAAATTCACGCTATTACCTTTATGGCAAGAAGGATGCGTTGACATTACAATTTTTTTAGTTTTATTGGTATTTAACTTCAGTTTATTATATACTAACCACTCCTCAGCTCTTTTTTCGATAATCTCTGTTTCGGTGATGAGATCTTGATAATTACTTCCAGAACAAAAGTGTAGTGTCGTCGGCAAACAAGACACATTTGGTGGGTTGCATGAACTCAAATATATCATTTATATAAATAGTGAACAGTAGTGGGCCGAGGACCGACCCTTGGGGCACACCATGTACGACTGGAAGGTAATCTGAACAAGCATTGTTAAAACTAACCTTCTGGAAACGAGTTTCTAAATATGATTTAATAAGTGATAAAACTACTCCTCTCAAACCATAGTAGGATAATTTTTCCAGAAGATATTATGAGAGACACAATCGAAAGCCTTGGTTAGGTCACACAAGGTGATGGCAGTATGATTTCCCATTTCAAGACCCTCGACTATCTCTCTCACAACATTCATCACAGACTGTGATGTTGATTTATTCTTGCGAAATCCAAATTGACTATTATTCAGAAAGTTATTGGATTCAAAGTGATTCTGAATTTGATTTTTCAAAAGAATCTCAACAATTTTAGAAAATATGCAGATAATAGAAATTGGCCGAAAATTATCCACTTCCGAAAGATTACCCTTTTTAGGAATAGGATACTCTTGAATATTTGAAAATATCAGGGAATTTACCGCTACTGAATATGAGATTAATCAAGATGGTCAGAGGATCTACAATAATTTCTAGGGTTTCTATTATTATTCGGCTATCCATGTCATACGCGTCTAGACTATTACTATTATTTGATAATTTAATCGTGTCTAGTACATCCACATTCGTTACTAGTAATACAAAGAAAGATGATGAAGGAACAGGAAAATGTATGAAGTTTAGTAGTATGGCATCTCCATAATCTGGTATGGTTTTAATCAGAGTTTCTGTTGTTGAGTTGAAGATGGTGTGCACCTAATGAGGGCTAACATGATTCATTGTCCACCAAACCACGCTACCCAAACATGAGGTCAGGGTTGGTAGAACTGATGAATATACTTATTTTCTTGTCAACAAGGAGTGAAAATCTCTGAAGTAAATTCCACAAAATATTGCTCTTGAGATTGCATTACTTGTAGATGATATTTCTTGATTTCTAGATATTCTAGATGTTACTAATATAGTAATCAGATTTACTAGCGTGTGATTCTTACTAAGTTGCCACTAAACTCTGAATTATTACTGAATTGGAAGCTTGTAATGTGCATTATCTTTCCAGATATTATGGCCAAGAAAAAGAACATAATGTCCTTGTCATGGATCTGCTGGGACCATCACTCGAAGATCTTTTCAATTTTTGTTCCCGTCGTTTCACTATCAAAACTGTCCTTATGCTGGCTGATCAAATGATTGGTCGCATAGAGTACGTCCATTGCAAATCATTCATTCACCGTGATATAAAACCCGATAACTTTTTAATGGGCATTGGTCGACATTGCAACAAGCTGTTCTTGATTGATTTTGGTTTGGCGAAGAAATTCAGAGATGCCAGAACTCGGTTGCATATTGCTTATCGCGAGGACAAGAATTTAACAGGTAAGCTGCTCAATTATTATGCTCCATTACAGAATACACTTTTTTCAAATTTTTTCATTACCAAAGGGTCAGTAACTAGAAGTCAATTTTCAAAATTGAAATGAACTAAACTGATGTCAAAACACAATGATAAATTAAAATTCATCGCACATTACAAGTGTATTAGTGACAAGTACAAATGTATGAATATCTATGATTTTGAGATTTACTATATGGAGAAACATAATTTTTTTCAAAACTAGAATCTTCAATCACCTTCATTCAAATTATTCAATATCAGTATTGAATTTACCATTTGTACAATTATCCATTTCATCATTCAATAATTGTAATCAAATTGGTATATTTTGGATATTTATTTCACATCTTCATCAGGTTTGCAATTTTTTGTCGTTTTCAATTGATCTCTAGCTGAAAGCGTAAAACTATTATTAATTTATGTGCGACTATTAGTCAATCTGATACTATCATAGCCCGACAATGAGGATTGAGGATGAGGATGTTGTACTGTTTAGGATGTTGGCGTTTTGTACCAAATTTTGTTGAAATCGAGGTTGAAATAAATACATGTACAAACTTGTTTACTGTCACTGTCACTGAAAAAAAAATCTGTATGTCATTAGGACTGAGATAATATAATGATGGAAAGGTTGAAGTTTTAAAATTCAATATCTATAAAAACACCATATTCCTCCTCTACTTTGAATTCAAAAGAAGATAAATAATATCAAATTAATTATGAAAAATATCAGAGACTCAATTGCAAATACTATACTGTAGTAGAAGACGCAGTTGAAGATACCCTATATGAGTCAAGTTTTCATGATTTTGAAAGATTGTCAAAAATAATGTTCTGACATAATGTTAATTAATTTCTGTATTTTGTCAAGTTGTGAATAAAAGGCGAAAATAAAAATAGGTTTTTGCATTCAAATACAGAATAGCTTTTACATTTTATTATCTGACCAAATGTATTTTTTTCATTCATAAATCACCCTATATGTTATCAAATGAGAAGGGGCACTTTCTGATGGTCCAAGGAGCCTCTATACATGCTTGTAGTATGTAAAGTTCCTAATTACTCATCCTTTTTTGCGCAATTGAGAAATATTTTTTTTATGTTTTGAAAGTGCACCACACGAATTTCTATTATCTTCCTGCGTTCCTAGGGTGGATTGGGAGAGAAGGGATATTTTGGAGGTTATGAGTACTTGGGATGACTCATCTGGCAAATCATTCCAAGGCTCTGCCATTCTATACACAAACGAATTTTGATAAGAGTTATTCGTCAGCCGAGACTTTCCTACGGTGTTTCAATGATCAAGGAGTTAGTGACTGTGGTTCGCCAACTAGGTGAATGGCTCGTCTCTGATTCCATTCAGCGTTGAGTTGAAAGACAGCCTAGGCTGAACTTGGCCCACAATCTTGATGCAATTTGTAATATTGTAATTTGTTATTGATGAATAAAGACAATTATTACTATTGTATCATTATGTTTGGGTGCTAATCACATTATGTGGGAACATCATTCCAAAACAGATCAATTCTTTGTAGATCATAGAGATGGAGATTGAAAATTGGTCATGAGATCATTAGAGAGTCAAAACGAAATTATGTTGAAAATTTCACACCAAACATTTTCGTTCAATTTAAAGCCTGTATTTCGTATCGTTACCATAGCAACTAAAGAAATCTCTTGGAAATTTTTTCCTCCTCCTTGGGGGACGGAGCATGAAATTACACTGGGAATTTTTTGACGTTTATAGGTCAAATGACATTTAGATTCAACTTCTGATTATTTCAAATTCATTCTATAAGTCAATAAATAAAAATCATTTATCAACAGTTTACCATATAATATTATGTAGGTATACTTGCAATATAATATTTCAGTGTGAATTTTCTTACAGAATACCACTTTAGCTTCAATTAATATCCGGGAATTCTCGTCTTCGACTCGGGAGAATTTTCAAAATGTTCGTGTTCTCGAAAAAATTTCCGGAAATAAATTGAAGCTCTCGTGAGATTATAAGTGATAATTAAAATTTGTAAACAATGAAAATGTTCATGTCTTCAATTGTATTTTTGTTTTGTATTCTGGACCTGAGTTAGGCCGCGAACATGTTGGACCAATATGGAGTGATAAATGATAAAAGCTGCGATACTAGAATAGTAATAAAATAAATTTTCATTTCTCAAATGAACCTGAGGCAAATTCCCAGAACACTTTGCAAGGAGAGTTAAGATTCTTCAGTAAGTAAAAAACAATATTGATACTGGCAATAACGTGGAACTTGATATGTCAAAAATAAAAAACCAGTTCAAAAACAATAATGGAAAGTGTTGGTATTGAGGTTATTTTGAATGTTGTTATTTCATTAGTTACATTTCCTTAGAGTAAATTACAACATATACTAATATTCTGTTCAGGTACTGCTCGATATGCTTCCATCAATGCCCATCTTGGCATCGAACAGTCACGAAGAGATGACATGGAATCCTTAGGTTATGTCCTTATGTACTTCAATAGGGGCTGCCTACCTTGGCAAGGTTTAAAAGCTGCCACCAAGAAACAGAAGTATGAAAAAATCAGTGAAAAGAAAATGTCCACACCAGTGGAAGTACTGTGCAAGGTGAGTTCAAAACAGGAATCTATATTTTCAACCTCGATTGCAGATATTATTTGAGAGAACCAGGTATCATTCAGAGGATGCTATTCTAGGTTGTGATATTACTTGGATATAAAAGTGCTTGCTATATAATACCTCACTTCACCCTAGGTCTATAATATACTACTGAGTCATAAGGAAGGCACATCTATGCCATTAAGCATTTTTTTAAATTATTACATTTCCAAATAAGCGAGCCTGTATACGATGACTTGGGACATCCGGTATACTATTTTTGTATAGTATTGATATTGGTGAGGCCTGGTAATGAAGATAATGTATTTATCAAACAAAGTGATTCTGTACAATTTTTGGGTTTATATGTGGATGAAAATCTTTCTTCGGAGACCACACACAGAATTTGTTAAAATCATTGTCATAAAAAAACTGCAATTTTTCAACTAAAAAAGTAACAAATACTGAAGCTATGATGTCATACTTCTATAGCTGTGTACATTCTCAACTAATGTATGGCCTACTGTGTTGGGGTAATAGCTCTGATTCTGATAAGGTATTCATCAGTCAAAAACGGATAATAAGAATTATAATTGGTATGAGACCAAGGGACTCATTTCGTCGTCAGATATTCATTTCTCAAAAAACTCCAACCATTTACAATATTTACATTCTGACCGCTCTATGCTTCACTCACAATAATCTTAAAAACCTCAAAACATGTGATGATATTAAACATTATACAACAAGAAATGCAAATAAACTATTCATTCCTCCAGCTTCACTCGCACAGATTAGAAAAGGTCCAGTCTTAACTGCTCTCAAAATATACAATAATTTGCCTGACTCACTTAAAGTTCTAAAGAATCCTTTATTCAAAAGACAGTGCAAATTATTCCTCAAAAATAAAAGCTACTACTCTCACGGAATATTTTAATGATTTTGTTTCAATTTGTATCATCCGTCATAGAGTTCTTATGTTTTATACATAAATATTTGTAAACAGTTCTATGTTTGTTTTGATTTTTTTTTTTCTCCCAGATCTTGGGCTAGTGTCTATATAGTAATAATATTATTACTGTTTATATCCTGAATTGACAATTTCCATACTTGTTGTGCAAGTCTTATGAAAAATAAATACTTACTCACTTACTAGTATTGAAAGGAAATCAGCAGCCTTTGTAAACGACTATTCTCCTAGGGCTTTCCCGCGGAATTTTCCATGTACCTGAACTACTGCCGCGGCCTGCGGTTCGAGGAGGCGCCTGACTACATGTATCTCCGCCAATTGTTCCGCATCCTGTTCCGCACCCTCAACCACCAGTACGACTACACTTTCGACTGGACCATGCTCAAGCAGAAGGCGGCAGTTACGGGGGGCGCTGTGGGGGCATCGACGCAGCCGCAGCCTTCTCAGGCGATCCCCCAACAGCCTGGTGAGTCATTTTTTCTGGTTATACATTGAAACAATATGCGGAAGTTGAATGCTGCAATGAGGCCTTTCCAAAGCCTTTTTCAGAATTTTGACAGGCTCATCCCTAAAAGCGTGACAAACCACAAATTAATGTTTTAAATGGAACACCCTGTTATTATATTTTTCACGATGTTCTCTGAACATTACAGGATAGCCCCTTTCGTGAGAACCAGAACTTAAAAAAAAATATTTCCAAAACTAGCATGTCCACTGCTTAATTGATTGTCTAGCCTTGCTCTACAATCCCTCTTGTATTTCCCCTCTTTTCCACATCTATAACATCCTGTTTTTCTTTGCTGCTTCATCTAAACTTCCTATGTTTATATTATTCTCTACATATCCTGTAACACCATTCTCTCATTTGTATCCTGAACTTCCATGCTTGCTCCATGTCATGTATTTCCTTTTTGATTAATCCCTTTATTTCTTGAGTATCCGTCTTCCTGGGCCCATAACCTTTATGACTTTTGTGAAAATTACTTTTCAATAATTTCCCATTTTCTTCTGATATTTCAATAAAACATTTCATCCATACTTTCTTATCTTTATTGCTGAAATGTTAGGCTAAGAGTTTGAAAGATTAGGTATGAGTCGATAAAAATTATAAATTATTATGTTCAAATACTTTGGGAAAATGAATCTGATCTGGAAGATCTCACAGAGGCAGTAGACGCTGAAACTGTCACTAATGTACCAGATGGTTTGTTATGAGATATGTTTATTCTTACTTTTGATATCAAATATTGCACCGATAACAGCTAGAGAGCTTGCTGTTTCTGATGAATCAGAATCACATCATGTCTTCTGATATAATATTATTAATCACTCCATCCATAATTTCAACGTGAGTAAAGAAGATGATAATAAAAATTATGAAAATAAAAACCAACAAAACCACCGAAAATCGAAAGATCATAGGTTATGGTTATGTTTTGCTGCCATTGTACCAGTACTGCCAAAATCGTTCCGATATTAAATGAAAATTCAAAGCTACTGCTACTGCTTCTGTTTATTGTTCCTAAATTGCTTATTGTGGCCAGTAATGTCAGCAATATTGGAACATGACCTTAACAGTGCTTCTACAGTATGCCAAACTACATCACTCTTCCTTTATTACACTGCACTTTTTAGAGGATTTTCGAACAGACCTTATACTTCTATTCAAAACCTAAAGAGGTCTTTTGAAGTTATATGAAACTTGAAAAAAATACATATTTTTGACCTAATATCCTAACCACATACTCTGTAGGCTGGCTTTGCTGGAGGATCAAAACAAACTATTTGAATTAGCTGCTGTCTCCAGCTCAAGCTGATACATACCTCTAGCTTGAATTGAATTTGAGTTTTGTCTCTATAGTATAGATGTGCAATAATCTCCTCATGGTTTCCTGTGCATAATTCAGTTTCCTCATCATTGCTTCTTGATGAAGAGTCTGATATTCATATCAATTTCACTCACCCTCAATAATAGAAAATAGTGCTTGCCTTGCACTAGTTTGCTCATTTATCAACATGGGCAAACTATTATACATTTTTGCGTGCGTTATGTCAATTCATCGTACGCTCGTTCACATTATGTTCTGCAGCAATAAAACATGCAAACTGATTCTTACCAGCAATGATCATCCCGGCGCGCTCTTAACAAATAAGTCGAAAAGGCTGGTTCAGATGTCACAACCATGGTTCGTTTCAAAATCAATATTTGTGTGTTTAAAACGGGTATTCCATGTCATGTATGAATTGTAGTTTGATTTGCTATAAATGATTTCAGAAAGTGAGGTGGACTGTTTAAGAATACTTTCTTAATTTTGTATGATGAAAAAATTTACTCGAGCCACTGAAGGTGGTTTCTAACAACGATAGATTTGTCATCTGAATAAAAGCCTATTCGGATCACAGTGGATGTTGAGAAGTTTGACATTCCTATTACATATGTACCAATGAAGCAAAAGTAACATGTATAAGTTGGAGAAAGAAATGATTTCTCTATCCTTATCTTAGGTGAACATGACGGGCCCTTTTATTCCTGAGTTTTATTACTTGTTAGTATCTTGGGTTCTTGTACCTTGATAAGATTAGCCGCTTTCAGGTATCATCGGTTGTATTAATCAGTACTTGAATTTCATAAGTATTGTAGACGAAAGTAGCATTCCCCCTTTGGAATACTGAACTTTGTTAAGACATTGGCTCACACGTTAACTCCTCTTTTCAGCAAACCGTGACAAAAGAGATGATGAAAAGACCAAGCAGAATTCTGCTAAAGGTACAGCACAAACCAAAACAGTCCATGCTTCTTCCACAGACATTGCTAAAACCCTCAAAGGTCATTGATTCGTTTTTTTTTTGTAATAAAAATATTGTATATAAATTTTGAGTACCTTTTTCTTTTGTTTCATTGAGCTTCATGAGGGAATCATTTTTTTTAAATTTGAATCAGCAGCCTTTTCATTTACTCATTATTCGCTTCTTCTGGTTGGGTGTAGAGGATCGATAACTCTTAAATGGTTTGATTAATGGTCTGTATAAATTCTGAATATCTTCATATGAATCACTGTATCGTTCAGTGTCTTTAAGCGCAGATTATACTTTGAAATTGTCAAGGCAAATATCAATCTGGAAATATTTTTACCTGAAACACATTTTTTTTTAAATATATCAAATCAATTTGGGAATATGAATCAAACGTTAGATTATATATTTTGACAAATGATCCAACTTTAGACTTTTGAATTGTGCACGATAATATTTTCTTGACCATGGTGAATTCTTATATTTGGAATTATTATTTATTTAATTATCTTTATTATTATTCCCAAGAAACATACATGTTTATAGCAGGGAAAATTGAACCTAATAATGTATTATATTAAATTGATGTTGTTTCTACATAAACCAGTAGTTAAAGAAAGTTGTGTCATGTGTTAAAAAATGCAATTGTCTTATAAATATGCCCCAATTTCATTTTGATATCTCCAATAACAGAAAAGTTACAGTGGTGAGCCACCCCTCAGGATGATATTGAAAATGTGAACTACAAATAGAAATCGAGTGTAATTGGAATCATTTATAAATTTTGTTGCCATTATACTAACTCATTGTCCGATGGTTTTTAATAACACCAAAGACAAATAGAAACGCCTGCATGAATTTTTGTAACTTGAGATTGATAAAGCAGTAATGTATTTCTTTTGTATGTTCTAGGAAATCGTTAAAGCAACACTCGTAACACATCGATTGGGCAAACTATTTGAATCTGGTTGGTTGAGAAAAAATGTTGTCTTTAACAAAGACATCTGACTCTTTTATATAAAATTCAAATTTTATTATAAGTGAGCATATACGAATTATAATTTACTTTATCTACACGTTGTTTTAACAGATATTGTATAAAATATAAAAGTAACAAAAAAAAAAGAAGATTTCGACCGCTTACAAAACAGGTCGTATCTTATAATAACGAATGAGAGATAGTGTATAGTGTGAGAGTGAGTGCAAGTCAGGCTGTATTATTTAATATTCTTAGAGTGTAATATTGAACAATTCTGATTCGAGATAATAAGTGAGTATTGTAATGTCAATACAGTAGTTTCACAAAAAAAATCCTGTTTGTAAAGTATCGGCAGTCTGATAAAAAAACAACTTATTTATTTGTATGTAAAGTCACAAACCATTTCCAATAATTATTGTAACTCCAAATGTTCACACCAATCTAAACAGTAACTTCTTTTAACAGATAATGTGATGTGATTAGGCTTAGGAACTATACCATAACAAAAATATTAATTTGGTTCTGTCGGTTAGTTTCTGAAAAGAAAGGGTTCTATTTGAAGATGTGATTTTACTGTTCTAAAATTACATTGAATACAAAGAATTGAAAATTATAGGGCCTCCGAAACAAACAAGCTACATTGTAAAATGAATACTCTTGTGATTATTCTGACTCAAATGATGACATGATTTTTTTTTTTTCGGATGTAGCCAGAATTGTGATGTTATTGTATTTGTTTATTTATCACGAACTGATATTCATAAAAATAGCCGATTGCATTGTTTTAGGGTGGCCTGTTCTTATAGAATATTCATTATTCACATTCTCTCATGGCCGCAATGGAACAGTGCAATACTAATATGCTGTCATTATAAAAATACCTGAAGATGTTTCGAGAGAAATAAAAAAAAACTGCTTTATTCATACTAATCATAAGTAATTTTCAAGATTTTCTGATAAAAACTTCTACCAAGATGATGAACTGTTTGTAACTAGACTAGCATAAAACAATACAAAGATTAAATTTATATTTTTGTGATAAAATATGTATTTTGTGTTAGTTCAGTTACATTTTGATTTCAAAATTAGAATTAATCTACAATTCTACATTTTTAATCAACTCAAGGTCTGATGATCAGGAATTATTTAGTAATACTAAAAATGAATCTGTTAGGCAATGAATATTAATGCATGTATTTGATGACAGCATTGAATATATGATTGGACTATATTAATTTGCCTGTTTTGTGTTTTCCAAATTTGCAGATCATTTTTCATCTTCATATTTATAATAATAACATAACATTAAAATAATGGAGGCACAAAACAATCACAGAAAACATTCTCTCTGTCTAAAAATCCAGAATGTTGAGATAATAACAATTTCTCAAATCAAAGATACAGAGTGAAACAACAAAACATTTTCAGAGTATGTATTTTGTTGAACTGTTTTATATATAATCTGAGGATCTTGATCATGGAAGTATGCAGGTACATCTTGGTATTTTAAATCATTTATTGTTACTATCTAGTTTACTTACCGATTCAATGAGCGTTGAAGTTGTAAATTAAATCTGTAGCTGCATGCTGCAACATGCTGCAACTGCCATTATAATGTTTATTGACATCCAACATTTCAGTGTAAATTCAATGTGTGTACTACTACTACTATATTACATCAATTTGTAAATTAAGTTGTTTATATAAAATTGTCTGATGGAGAATGTACTTTCCTGTATCTATAAAAAAAACCATGACTTTCGTTGATAAGGGAAGGATTTTATTGAATTGAATGGCTCTTTGGTCAGCCATAATAATTATTATTTTCATCTTCATTCACTAGAACACTGAATATCGTTTCTAATTTGATATTCTATCGAGTTTCAATCTACACTATAACTAATGATTGTATTACAAAATATCCAACGTCATCATATGATACAGGAAGTACATTTCAAGGTTGGCATGTTGTATATATATCGGTTTTCTCAGTTAATTTTTCAGTAGGTCTTGCTATATAGTTATTTCAGGCGTTGGCCCATAATTTAAGTTGATAACCATCTTCAGTTTGACATTTGTAATTGAACTGTTAAAATGAGGTATTGCGAGAATTAAAAATGTAAATGCTATTAATATAGTTTTGGTTGGTAACCCCATAATCACATTCCTATATTACTACAAAATATTGAAACCGATTGTGTCTAGATAGTTCCTTGATGTACTTGACACAATTCTTTTGGCGTTTTTGTATATTAAGAGTACGGACACTAAGAAGCACTGACAGTCAGACATAACCACAAATAAATTAATGGAAAAAGTGGGAACTTTCAGTACACGAACGTACATGACATACATTCAAAAGGTTTGTCAAAGTGAATTATTTATGTATTACTTCTTCAAAGTTGAAATCGCAAGTCTGAACGTGTGCGTAGTTGAAAAGTGTGGGACCTCTACAGCTAATAATAGTTGGTTTTGAATAACTTTTAGAACAATTTTTCTGGTGCCAATAACACTGGACCCGTGCACCTTTTATTATTATTGAAAATGATCTTCCGATGGCTGGATTCGAACCAACAACGAACAGCCATATTTTATGGTTTCCTGTTCCGTATGTCTTGGAAAATCTTTATTATTTATCTCAATTGAAGTTATCATGAATCCATCATATAAATATTCCTTCATATTTTTCAACTATACTTTTATACCTACTATTCTTGTATAAGCGAAAATGTTCCATCTGAAATAAATAAATAGTATATTGAAATCGTATTCATATTTTTATTCTATAGAGACGAGGAGAGAAAGTCCCAAAAAATCTAGAATAATGAATGTACCACCTCTTCGAATAACCTACAAATAGTATTCAAATAAATAGTAGTTTAGAAAACTAATGAAACACCCTTTTATAGATAGCCGAACTAAAAAGAAGTAGAAAATAAAATAATAAAAGTTTGTTGATATATACACAATATGGAAAATATTAGCACCTCCGTAATCAGTACATTCTACATTGTGTATTTATCAACACACTTTGATTATTTTATTTTCTACTTCTTTTTACTTTGGCTATCTATGAAGAGGTGTTTCTTTAGTTGTTAAACTACTATTTATTTCCTATTTCTTAGTTCTATTAACTACAGAAGCCTTTTTTAAATGTTTTTATATTTTTTGTAAGTTACAAAACTCGTCAGCCATATTGGGTCCGCCAACTTGAATTTACCAATTTTGACAAAAGAATCATAATCTCCGACCGCGAAACCCCCATATATCAATTTTGAATCGAATCGGAACATTATAATTACACAAATCGTTCGCGATTTTGGAGCCGCTATTTTATAAGGAGGAAGATTAAATTTTAGCATTGTTAGCCCTTTAGGACAAGTCCTTTAGAGCTTGGGTTTTCACCATGTGAGCTCCTTATGAATAAAAAATTAAGGTCCAAACTTCCTATTCTACCTAGTAAATTAGAGGAAACACTTAACACTAAGTTCGTTTTTTTACAAAGAGAAAAACAGTTGTTGAAAAACAAATTGGAAACAAACTATAATAAACGTCACAGTGCTAAAAATTTGGACACACTCAATATCGAGGATTCAGTATGGGTTGGAGATATTCGGAAGTAGGTATGGTAAAATTATTGAAATTTGTGAAGAACCACGTTCTTACATTGTTGAGACTGATGTATGGTATGTCAATATCGCCGAAATAGATGGCATTTAATCCTTACTATAGGGTTGTCCAAAAAAAACCGGAATTTTGTTTATGTCTGATAACTTTTTCATTTATTGGCCGATTTGATTGATTTTGGTCTTGTTCGAGAGAGAATTGATCAAGGCAGTCCGTTGATAGCAAATTTTTCATATTCGTTCAAAAAACAAAATGGCGGAGTCACCTAAACTTGGTAGAATTTGAAAACTTGCTGGAACTTTTTTAAGTCGCACTGTATATCGTTTCGTGTAAGAATCTGGAAGTTTGGACATTTCTGAATAGAACAAGATGTCGAACATGATAATCCGTCGAAAAATACCTGATATATGACAGGATATAGACATGTATGTTTTGGAACTTTTATGCTCATTTTCATTCGTTATTTCCAAGATCCACCTCATTTATGATTTTCAAAGTCTTCAAAATCATGATAATTTTGAGTCAAGTGGTATAAAAAGCATAAATTACGATTCCTTCATGGAATTCAACTCAATACAATCATTCTCAAACAAAAGGAAACACGATATTGAACAAGAAACAAGAGTAAGCGAGAAAATCATGTTCTAATGTGGTCCCCATCAGCTTCAACCATTAATTCCACACGTCGTCGCCAACTGTCAATTGATTTCCTAATATTAACTTGGCTGGTTTCCTCCCAACACTGAAGAATTCTCTCTTGTAGTTGTTCAACATTTTCAAATATTGTTCCATTTTTGTGAACTCTAGCCTCCAAATCACCCCACAGAAAATAGTCACAAGGATTCAAATCTGGACTATTTGGAGGCCATTCTTGTGGTTTTAAAAAATTGGCAACGTTCTCTCTTAAGTAATTAATGGTGTGTGCACTGGTGTGACATCTCGCGCCATCCTAAAATCAAATTTTTAATGGAAATAGTCAAAAAATGATAAATGATATGAGAAAAACTCGAGGAAAATGATGAGAAGATACAAACATGCCTGCATGAAAATAAAGTCAGGAGTTGAATCCTCTATGTCTGGAAGCATTTGTGCTAAAACATTGTCACAATAACTCTGTGAATATAGCCTGACCCCTTGCCTAATGAAAATCAAATTTGCTTTATGTTCTCTAGAAATTCCTGCAGAAACCATGACGTACTTAGTGAATTTATCTCTTTCACTCAGAAGACGTTCCAACGGCGTTTCCCGTTTTCGTTGGTGGTGAGGTAAACAAAATCTATCATTTTGCGAGTTTTTCACGGAGTTGATTGTAAATATTTTTTCGTCGGTGAACCAAATTTTTTGAATATCTCCTAGATCTGAATTTATTCAAAAGATTTCTACATCTCAACAATCTTCTGGCTTTGATTTCAGGAGTGAGTTTGAATGAATACATTCGCTTAAAAAAATTAAGCCCCAAATCAATCTTTATTATCCTGTTCACAGAGCTACGCGAAATTCCAGATCTTCTGGAAATTTGCGGAACGCTAAAGCTGGTCCTAGGCGCCCTTTCGGGACTCACAGCCAATTTCAAGACTTGGGCAATATTTTCCTGAAATGAGTTTTGGTAGATCATAAGACATACAATGATAGCACCTAGCTTACCAACCTGTGTTCTGACACTCCTTGGCCGCCCACTTCCTTCGCGTCTTGCAATGGAGTGTGTTAAGTTAAATTTCTTTACGAAATCGTAAATTGTACTTTTTTTATACCGCTCGACAGCAAAATGTTGTAAAATATCACTCACTCTGTATCCTCTCAAAAAGTTTTGATAAAAATGTTATCGTCATTGGAAAGCGCCATTATATACACTTTAGAAAGCAAAAATGAAGTGATTTCTATCTCGAAAAGTCAATTCAAGAGCTGTCAATAATTACAAATAACAAGAATCAACAACACAAAAAGCGATGATTGACATACGCCGCCTCGATTTCAATGAAAAATTGGTAACAAAATGTGAAAACATACATGTCTATATCCTGTCATATATCAGGTATTTTTCGACGGATTATCATGTTCGACATCTTGTTCTATTCAGAAATGTCCAAACTTCCAGATTCTTACACGAAACGATATACAGTGCGACTTAAAAAAGTTCCAGCAAGTTTTCAAATTCTACCAAGTTTAGGTGACTCCGCCATTTTGTTTTTCGAACGAATATGAAAAATTTTCTATCAACGGACTGCCTTGATCAATTCTCTTTCGAACAAGACCAAAATCAATAAAATTGGCCAATAAATGAAAAAGTTGTCAGACAAAAACAAAATTCCGGTTTTTTTTGGATAGCCCCGCCTATATTTTCCTAATACCCAGACGGGAATACCATTATCATTAGATACGAATGTAAGCAGTGAGCTACTTCCCACACCGCTATATCGTGAGTGTTATGATTTCAACACGAGTCCATCCCGGAAAAGCAATGAAAATCCTAATAGCGTTGAGGTAGTGGGTTCAAAAGTTACTTCTGCTCAGAGTGAGGGTTCAGAGGATGATGTTAAAGCAAAAAATAAAAATGTAGTGCAGGAACAAGAGATAGATAATCCTAATATTGTAACTCCTGGTAGGTCAAAGCGAGCTGTTAAAAAGCCTGCTTATCTAGCCGATTATGTGTAGATAGAATTTAGCTTTTTTATTTATCAATGTGACATCAGTCATTATAGATAGGCAACCCACATGTGTGCGGAGAATTATATGGCGTCCATCCGACTGGGATGACATGTAAACCTATAGCAGTTGTTATTTATTGAGTTAATCACTAATATCATATTTTTCCTGTGGAATCTCAGAAGGGTATGCGGTTAATCTTGGGGTATGAACCCCAAACAAATTTACTGGATTTACCAGACAATGGTAAAACCAATGGTCACGTATGGCTCTGGTGGACTAATAAGGGTCTGCAAGGGACAGCCAGGGCAAAGGTCGCTGGTCTTCAGCGGCTGACATGCCTGGCCATTACGAAGCGATGTCCTCCACTTCAACGGCAGCGGTTGAAAACCTCCTGAACCTCACTCCCCTCCACATTCATGGAGAGGGAAGCCAGGATGGTTTCCTATAGATTCCTGTCATTGGAAAATCAAATCAGAGGAGGGCGACAGCTCATCCACTCCGAGATACTGCGTGAAACTGAAAATCACCAGACTTGGAATGGTTCTCGACATGTTGGACACGTAAAAAAGTCTTTCAAAGTTCTCTTTCCGAAGAGAGACGAGTGGGTAAGAGGATCATTCCAATTCCCGGAGACCAAATACACGTAATGTACACAGATGGTTTGAAAACTCCGTTTGGAGTTGGAGCCGGTGTGTTCAGCAGGAAACCGAAGACGAAAATCTCAGTCAATCTCGGTAAGTATGCTGGGCATCGCAATTGAATTGTGTGCAAGAGAGTTGACGAATAGACCTCTAGTAAACAAAAACATCAGTAATATTGTGTCAGGCAGTCAGGCTGCTCTTAAAGCACTGAGC